CCAGAATTAACGTGTTATCAAAAACTTCTTATTGTCTTTGATGGATGTCAGTATAATTGCAGTTTTGATGGTTGCGGCGTAGATAGCTATTCCTTATTTTTTCCGATTTGTCTTGAACAGGGTATGGATTTTTACTTTTTAGTGTCTTAAACAGGGTCAGGGATTTAGACCGCTGGCGGCACGTACCTATCCAAAATGGGGTCGAGTGCCCCCCCCGGGATCTACGGTAGAATAAATTAAACTCCGCACAAACTAAAACTTTTGTCTTTTGCCACCAAAGCGTTGAATTCGTATAAAAATTTGCATACACACTATTTAGACGTATATTTAAGATATTCTGTAAGAAAAGCTCTTTAGAAAAAAATTCTTGGATTTTTCGATATTTTTTGCTTGAGTATGACGTCACATGCAACCCACCAATTGGACTCGGCCACGGCCTCGTCCAATTTTTKGCAGTCCTCGGAATTTTCCTCGTCCAATTATTTCTTAATTGGACAGCATGGAGTCCTATTACATATAAAAAGTTATGTAATGTCATGGATGAAAACAATCAAGTTCTACGCAATTTAGGAGAACCTGTTCAACACTGGAACTTTTGGCTTGTTTACATTTGCAAGAAAAAGCTTGATTCCGTAACACGCTTTGAATGGGAAAGCATACTGCTAATAACCAAAGTCCTACGTTCAAGGAAATGCATGATTTTCTTTCTGAWCACGCTTATGCTTTGGAGGCATCGGAAGAAAAATCAAATAAATTCAACTATGAAAACAAATCTGCAAATTCAAAATATTTTCCCGTACGGCCCGACCTAACTCAGTCAATAAGCATTTTATCATATGGCAGCGTTTTTTAATGTAAAAAAAAAGAAATAAAAGCGCGCGGAACTTCAAGCCGGGAAAATACGGGTTTGTACGGACCTGTTGTAAAAAGGCGTACGGATCATTTTCCAAAGGTTTCAGTGAGAGCGCGCGTAAGGCCGAAATACGGGTCATATGTAATTTGGAAGTGATTATGTACTTATTGACTGAGTGGGAGGGCCCGACCTAAGTCAGTCAATAAGCATTTTATCATATGATAGCGTTTTTTAATGTAAAAAAATAAATAAAAGCGCGCGGAACTTCAAGCCGGGAAAATACGGGTTTTTATCATATGACCCGTATTTCGGCCCTACGCGCGCTCTCACTGAAACCTTTGTAAAATGCTCACGCGATGTGGTCCGTACGCCTTTTCGCGACTGGTCCGTACAAACCCGTATTTTCCCGGCTTGAAGTT